ATTGGGAGCATCTATCCAGCACTTACTTTGAAATAGCGCACTCTTCCTCTTACTTCCCTTACTCCTCGTACAATGAGTCTGCATCTACACTACATGCTTCTGGCACAAAAAGCCTTTCGCGCAAGAGTTTTTGCGCAAAAAACTTCTTGCACAAGAGCATGTCCACACCTGCATGGACGCTCTTGTGCAAGAAATCTCTGATGGCCATTCACAGAATGGCCATCAGAGTACCTGTGCTTTTTCCCATAGGCGTATCCACACTCGCCTTTTTGCGCAATAGCTATAGCGCAAAAAGGAATTATGCCTCTTAAAAAGAGGTTTACCTACTTTTAAGGTCAAAAAGCCCTCTGTTCTGCTGTTTAACTGTTGATTTTCTTGCGCAAAAGTGCATTTGAGGTGTTGACACACCAGGGATTTTTGTGCAAAAACCTTGCAATGTAGACGTAGCCTGAGGGTCACAGGAGTCAGAGTAAGAAGTCCTCCGGCTTGACAGAATTTATTTCAAAATAATGGGCTTGCTGTGTAGACGTGTAACTGTTATTCTGAAATAAGGCTGCTTTGTAGACATAGCTGGAGCAGTAAGTACCATATCCTTTGGCAGAACACCAGACCCTGTGAATAAGGAAACCGATCTTAGATCAATCATCTTTGGGTCACCACCTGCGTTCCTTAAGTCCTCTCTCTCCTACCCAAGGCAGGGACAGCTCCTCAGGACCAGGTCCTTCCAATGGAGCAAGAATGAAGATCAAGCCTGAAATACTGGCGGCAAGCCCAGGAAGAACACACTCTGGGGAAGCAGCTGACTGTCGCAGACCAGGAGCTCCTAGGGGTAGATTAATGCCACTTCCAATGCTGATAGAAATGTAGCCGTGTTAGTCTGGGGTAGTTGAAGCAAAATGCAGGACAATGTAGCACTTTAAAGACTAACAGGATGGTTTATTAGATGATGAGCTTTCGTGGGCCAGACCCACTTCCTCAGATCAAATAGTGGAAGAAAGTAGTCACAACCATATATACTTCCGGATACAATTAAAGGGCGGGTTGGGCACACCGGAAATAGCAGAGAATCTACAGCAAGAACAGCCCACTGCACACCCACGCTCTGTTCCGCTGCCTGGAGGCAGGGGTATGCGGGTCCCTGTCCTACCCTCAGGCCCACTGCTGTATCAGAAGGGGATAAGGGGGAGCAGGGTGCAGGAGGAGACTCTTTGCTGGGGCAGGGGTTCAGGATGTGGCCAGGGGGGGAGGCCAGGGATGAGGCCAGGTGTTTGGGATGCAGGATGGGGCTCTGGGCTGTGGCAGGGAGGGGGGGGGGGGGGGGGGCTTTGCCCTCCCTCCCCCCACCATACCCTCTCCTCCTGCCGCAGGCCTTCTTAGTGGCCCGGTAATTATTTCAGCGGGATGGGCGGTGTTGGGGAGGGTGATGAGCTAATGTATGTCCCTGGCTTATTCATCCATCAGTCGGACACAGAGCAGACCTGGCCTCTCTTTGCGGAGTGTTTGCTTTTTCACCAATTATTGCGGCCCTGCAGCTCTTTTTGTTGATACAGTAGTTTTAAAAAGTGCTAATGTTCATTTATCAGGGGGCCGAGCCCGGGACTCCCACTCCTTGTGCTTCTCCCAAAAATATAAACACGGCAGGGCAGGGCTGAGCCGAAAGCCCCCATTTGTTTCTACCCCGCCGTATTAAAAGGGACGCGTTGTTGAAGATAAAGCTCAGGATAACGCTGTCTGTCTCCAATGAATGTCTCCCCGGAGCATTAATGACATTCCAAATGATAGCTCCGGCTTATCTTTCAATTAATCACAGCTACCTCTGCAGCCGGGCCTATCGATTGGGAGGGAGGGTGTGATTCCGCCCGGCTAGGCATCCTCCCGCTTCCAATTAATGCTATTTTATATGCAGGCAGCATCTATCGCAATGCGCACAGACTAGATCCAGAGAGGGGGCATGAAGCCCAGAAGGTGTAAAAAGGGCGATGACATCTGGCCAGCCCAGCCCAGAGCAGAGCCCCAGTGTGCTAGGCGCTGTACAGACACTCAGCAGGGATCCCTGTCCCCCATCTCTCACCATCTACACATACAAGGAATGGGTGGAACGGGGCCATTAACGCAGCGCGTGGAGAGAGGGGGAGCTGGGCTCAGTGAGAGCTCCCTGGAAGAGCCTTCTGCACATGGGAAAGGAAATGCAAGGCCAGGTGAAGACAAAATGCTTCATTCTGACATGGGACAGGGCGGGAGGGGAGTTTTGCACGGACCTAGCCCGCTGTGTTCTGAAGGTACAGAGTCTTTGCCCCCTAAATAAGAAAAGGGGTTAGCGTGGGGAAGCTCTTCACCCCCCACAGCTGCAGGCAGAAGAGGGAGAAGGGCAGGGGGGCGTCGATATTATCGCCGAGCTAAATTGTATAGTCATAGCCTAGGATAGGAGACTAGTCCTGCCAACTCCTGTATTCCTGTGCGGGTGTTGAGCTGCTAGATGTGCAGATATTTGGATGGACGCTCCCTGAGTATGGAGTTTGCATGATCTCCCAAGCCGCCATCCGCTGAACTAGCGGGGGTATTTTTTCACACAGTGCACAGGAAGCCCCGGTTTATAAATCCTAGATGCAGCCAATCGATGTAGGCGTCTAGAGTCTCTCAGTATGTTTGTTTACACACACACTGCCCATACCGTAATTTTGGACTAATCGATCGAGTTGATCTTAATTTCTCCTACGCATTTACTAGAGAAGTGCCAACATTTTCGGAGAACTAAGAGCTGAGAAGAAGTGAGGGTAATCGCTGCACTTCCCTCCATTAAATAGCAATATTTCAGGCCTCTCTGGACACTCTAATCTCTTAAAACTGTCATCGCGAGCTCCAGATTCGATTCCCCACCGGCAAGGTACCAGGACTGTAGCAGTCGTTTGCAGCAAGAATTTTAATTGAATCGGATGTTCCTACTTCATCGGATAGCCGCAGCTAGGGAGATAAAGCGAACTCCGCCCCGGGAGCTCCCGGCGAGCCCGCTGCCCAGCAGGCTGTAGCGAGCTAATCATTCCCCCGCACGCTCTGATTCGAGAGAAAGTTACATTTCCGCTTAAGCGGCTCGGAGCCGCGAAAGAAAAGGGGGCAGGAGGAGAGGCGGTAAAGGATCGGTAAAGGTCCCGCGGGAAACAGAAGACACGAGGCAGCTCTGCAGCTGAAGGTGGCGGGGAAACCCAACGAGGGCCTCTGAAACTCAACGAGGCTGCCAATGTCTCTGTGCGATCCAGGCTAGCTCGTGGGAGAGAAAACCCAGGTTTACACAGGGACAGGTGCTCGTGGGTGCGCTTTGGTTTGCCGCCCGTGAGCCTGCACAGCTGGCTCTGGTTCTGGCTCGTCCCCCATGACCCCGTCCGGGAAGCTGAATTCCTCTAACGCGCCCTGGCACCCGCATTAGCATCAGTGGGTTCCGCATGGGCAGCTTCAGGACCAGAAGTGTCAGGCGGGTTAGCCTGGCCGGCAGGCTAATCCGGAGAAGGGACGATGCTAGGTCAGGCCGGGGAGTGAGGTTTTAAACAAACGGTCCATATTCCCAATGGCTCTGCCGCTGCCCAGCATCTCGCACATTACCCCTCGCCGCCTCCCAGAAACTTTGGCCCTGCATTAGAAGATAAAGGCCCCTTGACTTGCATCCCTGCCCCGGAAGGAGCTGTCAAAGGCCAGGCAAACTCACCGGATCGCCCGAAGACTCTTTTCCGCTCCACCTTGCCACCTGGAGCCACAAGCCCCTTCCCTTATCTCTTACTGAGCGGTCATTAAGGAGATGGTGTCCTGGAAGAGCCACTCCCCAGCTGCCTTTTCGAGCTTACTCTTCGCGCCACGCAGTTCTGGGGGCGCCCCACCAAATACCTCCCCCAATAAATGACTTACAAGTTGTGGGGTTCGGGATGTGTGTGTGTGTGTGTGTGTGTGTGTGTGTGTGTGTGTGATTGAAAGCATCACAACGCCCCTTCCCCAAGCTGAGTCCTTCGGAGGGATTTGCTGCTACGGGTTTGTGTTCGTGGCAATAAGTGCGTTAAATTAATGAGCTCCCACTTCTGGTCCTTGACTAGAAGGAGCTGCGGTTATCCACACTCCTAGCCTTCCGCTTATGGAAAGCCAGGCTCCGAGGCTGATAATAGAGATTCGTTTTTCAATGTGTCTTTGCAAAGAGCCAATAGTTCAGTTTTTCGCTGATGGGCGGTTGTTTGTGTTAGCCAAGCCGAGCAAAATGTTTTCCTGAACTGTTGCTGGCTTTAGTGCTTCTGCAACTCGTTTTGCCTCTCTTCTCCACAATCACCCCCAGACGTGCGCACGATTGCTTATTTGTTTCTTAACCCGCTCTGTAAATGCTTTGGACCTCTCATGTTCTCCCTGCCTGGGTCCTGCTTTGCAGGACGCCGGGGGACCTGCATTACAAGAGATTAATTTGAAAACAATCGTTTTTACAAGAGGAACAGCGTTTTGGTGGCTTTTATGCTGAACAGAGCAGATCATCGAGCAGATGAAAAAGAGAACCACGTTTGGCCTGTTTGGCTGCACTACTCTAGGCCATATGCTGTGCACACCATGACTTTTTAGACGTAAATTTCCCCTTAAAAGCGTCCCAATGAATGGGGAAGGCTCCTCTTCAATTATCACTTGGATCCCATAGTGCAGGTTACTGAATGCGACTCGTCCTTTCTCGTTTTTAACTTGAATTCAGCGCATATTTGCTTGATGGTTTCCTCCAGGCCTGTTTATTTAATCTGCCTGTGTGATAGATGGCATCCGATAGGGGGTTTGTACACATTAGGCCTTTCGGATTTTTTTTAAAGGATCAACAAACTCTGCGGGGGCAGGCTGGATAAATACAATGCTGCCCCTTTAAATGAGTGAGGATGTTTTTTTAGTTGCATTACTATATTAGGTGACCTGGAACTTTGCATCTCTCATTCCATCACTGCTCTGTTGGCCAATAGAAAGCTAAAGTCACCCGAAAACTGCCTAGTCCCGCCTTCTTTTCCCCTTAGGGTCCGGTTCTACCTGCCTTCAGGCCACACGGCCAGGCTCCTTGCTGGAATGCTATGTGCTCCTCTGGAGAGCCCAGGAGTCACCACCGCCGCAGGTTGGTTGTTTCCAATTCCCCTTTACATGAAGCTGGGCTCTGGTCGCTGCCTCACTTGCCCCCACAATGTTTCCTAGCCCCGTGACCACTACGCCCTTTTCTGTCAAGGATATTTTGAATCTGGAACAGCACCAGCCAGGCCTGCCTTCCATGGAGCTCTCCACGCTGGCCTCCTCCTCCTGCATGCTGTCAACCTTCAAACAGGAGGCGTTCGCGGCCGAGCCCACAGCCCTGCCTGACCTTAGCGAGGAGCTGCCTCAGACGCACCCTTCCAAAAACGCCGCCACCTTCCCCAGCCCCTTCTACGCTAAAAGCTACATGCAGATGGACTCGGCCAAGGATTCCAAGGCGGACAAGAAAGGTAAAGGGGCAGCGCGCTGGGAGCGGTTTAAATGCCAGCGCGCAGGGGGGGCTCTTTGGAAAGCGCAACTCAAGGGCCTCCCCGGGCAGCTGCTTGGGGGTTGTTACCTAGAGGGAAGGCTGGTGCCTGGGGAGCTGGTCCGCCAGCAGGCCCCAGCTGGGACGGAGGGACAGGGCCAGCCCCGCCGCTCAGAGGGATGGGGGAGTGCGTCCTGCCGCAGCCTGGCTGCTGGCGATGTTTGCTAGGGACCCCGTTGTAGTGAAATGAAAGCGGATCGCTTGCACCCTCGCTCCCAGGACAGAGCCAGGGACCAGCAGGTGGAAGGATTAGTAAACAGCGCCCGAGGCAGGCCCCAGCTGGGACGGAGGGACAGGGCCAGCCCCGCCGCTCAGAGGGATGGGGGAGTGCGTCCTGCCGCAGCCTGGCTGCTGGCGATGTTTGCTAGGGACCCCGTTGTAGTGAAATGAAAGCGGATCGCTTGCACCCTCGCTCCCAGGACAGAGCCAGGGACCAGCAGGTGGAAGGATTAGTAAACAGCGCCCGAGAAATACTCCAGCGTTTGACTCGTCCGGAGAACGGACATTGTAGCGACTGCAGCCCAGGGCCCGTAGAAAGGCCATTTTGGCTGAACTCTGGGCAGTGCCCCGCGGCCTGTAAGATGGTAACTGGGAAGGAGAGGCCAGAAGATAACACCCGACAACTATTGCCCCCCGTTTCATTGCGCTAGAGCCTTTCGGCCCCGGGATCCGCCAGGGCTTAGTGACTCCCGTTTGCTAGCGAGCTGACCCCTCCGATCGAGCTGTTTGCTACAGGACTGAAGCGGCTGGAGGTTTTGGGGTGGGGGAGCAGGACGAGGAAAGGATGTTGCAGAGAAGTTTCCTGTTACCTGTAACTTGTTTCCAAACTCGTTAACGGGAAGAAATTTGGCACCACAGGAAAAATTAAACTGCTCGGTATAAATTGCGAGCCAGAGTTAATGATGGCAAACGGGAAACAATGCTCAAAAGGGAATCACACTGAATTGCAAACTGGCAACTAATGCGGGAGAGTAAGTCTAAACTAAAGTCTAGCACTCACCCAACACATTTTCTGCTAAAAGAATATTAGCCGGTCGCTGCTCTTTAACGTAGACAGCACCGGTTAGGGGTGTCCCTAGTGGTGTGGTTTACTTTTCAGGCCCGTACCATTTTAATTACTACCAAAAAGAAGCGACAGACATTATTTCTGCGCAATTAGGAAATAGCTGAGGAGGTTTCCATGCGGTCGAAAGACACAACTCGCTAGAAATTAAGTATAAAACGAATCAACTCTTCGTGATACAGAGATTAAAGACTGAAATCTCCCTTCCTATTTGTAATTACGCATTGATTTAATTGCTCATTTAAAAAATGTGGTAACATTTAATAAGCTACCTCGAGAACTCTACAATGGAAATAACATCCTGGGGGCAACGACCGGAGTTTGAAAGCTATTCGTAGTCCGTAGCGCGAACTGAAGCAACATTTAGTTAGAAAGTCCCTTACTCCCCTTTACAGGGTTACAGCGACTCACAAACATTGATTGTTGCGTGCTGGTTTCTTTGTTTTGCTTCAGAGCTGTGCTCCCTTCACAAGAGCCTGGAGCAGGAGAAAGGGGGCTTGGAGGATCCGGAGCGTCCCAGACAAAGGAAAAGGAGGAAACCTCGCGTCCTCTTCTCTCAAGCTCAAGTCTATGAACTGGAGAGAAGGTTCAAGCAACAGAAATATCTTTCGGCCCCCGAGAGAGACCATTTAGCGAACGTGCTAAAGCTCACCTCTACCCAGGTCAAAATTTGGTTCCAAAATAGAAGGTATAAATGCAAAAGGCAAAGGCAGGATCAGACCCTAGAGATGGTCGGGATCCCTCCACCCAGGCGGATAGCAGTGCCTGTGCTGGTGAGAGATGGAAAGCCCTGCTTGGGGGAATCTTCGCCCTACAATTCCCCTTACAATGTCAGCATTAACCCCTATAGCTACAACGCCTACCCCGCCTACACTAATTACAACGGCTCGGCCTGCAATGCCAACTACAATTGCAACTACCCTTCCATGCAGACCATGCAGCCCGCTGCAGCCAGCAACAATTTCATGAACTTCAGCGTTGGGGACTTGAATTCGGTGCAAACGCCAATTCCGCAGGGGAACGCGGGGATTTCCACATTGCATGGGATCAGAGCCTGGTAGATGTACTTCCCGCATCCGTATTCCCGCAACAATAACATGGGGGCATCGTTTCACGGGGACGGAAAACCGACCAATGGACCGACCGGTACTTGAGGCTAAGGGAATAGACAGGGTTCACCTCGGCCTGGGATCCCGCAGAGAAGCTAATCAGCAAGTGTCCCGATAGATTTTCAGACTGCTGGAAGGACTGGAAAGGAAAACTCTTGTACGTGGCATCAAGAAATTCACTAGCACGGTTGTCGGCATCTCCCGCTGGAAGTTACAAAAGGTCCTTCTCCGAATTACTCTGCCCCACGTAAATTAAAGCGCAAAAATCACATTCTGTTACAGGCGGGGTTATACTGAAATGACCAGACGCCCGGTGCTCCAGAAAGCACTTTTCCCACCAGAAAATTGCAAAGCTACACACTGAAAAGCTCAGCTCTGAGCTCTTGCGTCCTTAGCCCGGTTTGCGCTAAAGAAATGGCTCTTTCTAAACCAGCGGAACAATAGTGCCGAGGCCGATTCCTCGGTTTATTTTAAAACTCAAGATACGTGTTTCATGTTGCACTTCCTCTATGGACATCAGATTTTGAAGAGTCCTTCAAGCTATACTAAGTGTATCGCTAGTCCTAGATCTTCAAACGCTGCCTTCCTAGATCAGGCGATCTGCTATTTTATTTAAGATGTAATGGCCTAGGCCAGAGATAGAGTGGGAGAAGTATATCGTGTCTGTAGATCTCACCAGCACACAAAGGCAAAAGACAAAGCCCAGAAACTAAGGGAGTCAGATGCTGTTACATGCCCGATCCGCGGAGGGTTATGCACTAAAACGTGATTTAGTATTTAAATTCACTGTCCCTGTGCAGCCGCCGGATTGTATGCGCAGGCCGGTGGAACGCGGTGACTTGTCATTAAAGAGAGTGGCTGAATGTTGCACGGCTCCTTCGCTTTTATTCTCGCAGGGGGTTTTCTCTTTGCTAGTTCAGTACTTCTGGGATGTCCAGAAGAGACATTGCTGGGCGCTGCAGCCGGGCGGGTCCACCAGTATAGGGCCCCGCTGTGCTCAAGTGACAGGCACTCCAGTAAAGAGGCTGAGGCCCACTCGTGCTCTGTTTGCCCAGTTAATTCACTGGGCCAGATTCGTCTGGAGTGTGGAGTGGCGCTCGGTTGAGTTTTAGCCCAGCGAAGCTGTAGGGGCTATATCAGTGAGTGACACCAACCGGATTTAGCTCCGAGTATCCTAGGGCTCAGCAGGACTAGTTCTCCGGGTGCCTCCCTTCCCCATTTCCACTTTACCTGTTTTAAGACTGCATCTGTGTTTCCAGCGACCCAGGAGATAAAGCCAGGAGAGATGTAAAGTATCTGAGGCCCTATAGAAATCCATCTAATGTCACTGTTCAATTCTTAAAATCTCCGTGTGACATATGGACGCGTTACTAGACAGCGCATCTGTTCTGGGGTATATCGGAGCGATCACACCGCGGACGTATCTACAGGAACATTTTAAACCCCTTTTCATTCTGGGGCGACTGGCGCTATTCAAAGTGCTAATAGCTTCCGCGGGCGCGCAAATGGCTTTCGGTTGCTAACCCATTTTCTAGCCATGACGTAGGCCCGGGGAACTAGAGAGAGAATTGAAGCCAAGAAAAACTCTATTTTACAGAACCGGAGCCGCGCAGACCGCTCGGGCCGCGGCGTGTCGCGAAGGCGGGGATTGTAAATAACACGCAGCGAGTTCCAGTGGGGCTCCCATCGTGTCTCGCCTGGATACTGACACGATCCCTAGCAAGGCTCCCAGACTAGTCACTTCCCATTCACTGCCCCACCCCCCCCCCGCCC